CAACCTTTTATTGGATAACTATTGTTGTATCCTTGGATGCACACTGTTGATGAGTTCTGAGCGCTTGATCATATTAAATGAACACTACCCTCCCCAGGGTTAAAATGAGGGTTTTTTCTGAACAGAAAAGAAACTCCTACTTCGAAGGCTCAGAGGGGTTGACGAGGGTATATATCCCTTATATCTTCGGTGTTTGGGAATTGAAACAAGGTCTGTACATTGTCATCCTCCCTCCAAAGATCAGAGCTGGAAAGAACAGGATGTAATGCATTAGGCTCGCATCAATATGCTCATCAGACTTCTTTTGTCTTGGCTTAAAATCTTTTTTCATGAATTCACTAGGGGAATAAAGACTGACTGCTGTCGAATAGATTAGGGAACACAAGGCTGTGGAGAATGCCCCTGATTGAAAAGTCTGGTGCCCCGGTATGGCAACCACATCTGACATTAGTATCATGAACTAAGCACTAATATAAGATCCCATAGTATATGGGAACCATCCAAAGATTTTTGTGTTTTTAGATTATCGTCATCCTCCCTCCAATCTTTACCTAAGCATAAGACTAGGAAATTTGGCATCAATATGCAAGTAAAAAATTTTAAAGAGTGACAATGAACGGATGAATAAAAACGAAAGGAACACTTCAAGACAAGTATACCTATTGCATTAAGATTTTCATTCAAAAATAGACAAGTTTCTACATGCAAGCGATGTTTAAACAAACAAGCAAGAATGCAAATGAAAATGCAGTAACGAAACCGATGATTGCCATTGTTGAGGAGACTTGACTCCATATGGATTTCTTAATTCTGACGACTTTCTGTAGCCTTTATGCTTGAGTGGGAGGGAGAATTTCCCTTTTGATCTGATGTGAACACAACAGTCTCTGAATTGATCCAGTCTTGGACCTGGTCTCTGGATGACATACCTTCAATCAAATGGCCAGGCACCCCAATATAATATGCGTAGAAGGTTCTTTCCGGAGAATGAATGAATGATTTATCAAGAGAATCAGCATGAATTGCATTACCAAACATCTTATACCATAAACAAAGAATACAGTTCGTCTTCTATCAGAACAGCGGAGACATCCAAGCTGGTGAGAAAGAGTCCAACAGTTATCCAAATAGGAATTGGACCTTTGGAAGAGACGCCAGATAGGTACTGGGCTTTATATTTCAACCCGTTTACAGTCTTCGATATCAAAACCGGGTTCCCCTGGAATAGGGGATACATATAGCATGTGTATCACAATCAAAAGAGATGTTTGTGGGAGGAGGACCCCAAAGATCAGAGCTGGAAAGAACATGATGTAATGCATTAGGCTCGCGTCAATATGCCCATCAGGCTTCTTTTGTCTTGGCTTAAAATATTTTTTCATGAATTCACTAGGGGAATAAAGACTGACTGCTGTAGAATAGATTAGGGAACACAAGGCTGTAGAGAATGCCCCTGATTGAAAAGTCTGGTGCCCCGGTATGGCAACCACATCTGACATTAGTATCATGAACAAAACACTAATATAATATCCCATAGTATATGGGAACCATCTGCTGATAAGATATTCCAAGAACTCAAGATTATATAACACTCACTGGTTGAAAGTGTTCCCCAAAAGATAAGGAGGAGAAGGAACCTCTACTGTAGTAGTAGGTGCAATATTGTTGACATCATCATCAGAGTTTCCATGACCTGGCTTATTTGAGTTTTCTATCAATTATCTTCCTTCTTGAAGAAATTTCTGACCACGGGCCAAAGCTTGCATGTATATCACACGGAGTTATTCCATAACTGATCTCTGAACATGTGACAATAAAAATCAAGTTGAACCTATGAGGAGAACACATGGTCTGAATAAGAATCCCCAATCTCCGAGTACCTGTTATGAATGCATGAATATGTATGGGGTGTATGAATGAATTCCATGTCATGTTCTATCATTTCCAAGGAATTTACGTGCTTTGATTTTGATTTTGTGCAGGTAAGGGATGGAAAAGTTTAGCACAAGACTTGCAAATATGATTCCTTGGAAATAATAGAACATGTATGTTAAGCATGTGGTTAATCATGTTATGTATGCAAAGGCATGAGATCAAATGGGATCAAGGTTCCATTATTTCTGAATATGATTGCTGCATTATTCTGAACCATGTGAGTATCATTAGATCAAAGGTCCGACATAGCTTCTGCACATACAAGAACCAAATACCTTGTAGATCTCCCATTGTACGGGATCAAGGCTTCCGGAACATCGAATACTGTTGAGCATTTTCTGAATATGTTGGGAATACCAAGATCGAAGGCTCGAATAAATCTCTAGGTAAACAAGTCAAGAACTCAGAAAATAAATCTGAGAACCATACGGTCACCAACAGAATATAGCATATGCATAAAGTTATCAACAATATATAGCATCTGAATAAGTCGCCAATAGGAATCTAGAACATGATCATTAGAACCAAAAGTCATCGTATGAGTATAGTCCCCATCTGAACATGAGTAACCATCTGAACGTAATCACCATCTGAGCATAATCACCATCTGTACCTGTGATAATAATTCCCTCCCCACTCACGGGTGAAGACTAGGCCAGGGTAAGGCAAAGGTAACTCAGAATCGAGGGTACTCCTGAAAAACTATCGCTGTATCACCTACGTGAAAATGATAGCCCCTCATTTGTACCTCATCTGAGCATGGTTGACATGGAGGCAATAGTTAGACCTAAGTCAACTAGCCATTCATGTTCCACTCTATTCCTAGGGTTCCTATGGTATACAACTCTGGCCAGGGTATTGGGCCTTTCACCTTATAGTAGCACCCACCCAATAAGAAGCAGATCCAGTACAACAGTAGTATATGGAAGACAGTAAAATGCAATGCATACATATGCTTAAGTATATACACAATTAGTGAATAAACTAAAAGCATAAAAAATAAACACCCAAAGAAAAAGAAAGCAAGAGCTAGGAGCGACTCCGGGATGGACCAGCATTTGGTCGACCAATCCCCAGTGAAGTCGTCAGCTGAAACAACCGGCTGAAAATCATCAAACAATGAAGTCTCCATCAAACGTCTTTTATCCCACACGAAGGGAAAGGTAAACATCGAGAAAACCTGAGAAGGGAGAAGTCACGGTCTTGCGACCAAGAGATCAGGTAAGGGAGTCTGTTATGCGAGGGAAAGGTATTAGCACCCCACACGCCCATAGTACTCTACGGTATCCAGTCTTGTTATCTATCTTATGGGTGTGTTTAATCTATGCTTACTGTTTACTATACTACTGAAGGGAGAATGCATGCGAAAGAAAGGGAAAAAGAATGTAGGGAAAATAAAATTATGCTCGCCTGGGCCCTACCCCAATGCCTACGTATCCTTTTTTAGGAATCAGAGCTACCGTAGTTCGGCTCTTATGTTTTTGTTTGTTTGTTTTTTTTATGGATGAAGTTAATTCCGCCTTCTTCCGCATCTCGACCTTTGGAGACTTATGCGTTTTCACAGAAGTAAACTAATCATGTCCTTACCTGAAAAGGGTTTTAGAGAAAGGTGCTTGAGCGCACAAAAAGATTTGAATTGGTTTTGTGTTTTATTACCTTGAAAAAGGGTTTAAGTATGCTTAGCATGTTTTTGATTTTCTAAGAAAAAAGTTTTTGTTTTAGATGCAAGGATGCGAAAAGGGGAAGAAAAGAGTCTAAGGGAGACTAGTCTATTTCTAACCTAATGTTATCATACAATGGTAGTCCTACGTCAAGGATGAAGGGGAAGTTTTTACCTACTGTTAGCATGCCAAAGAAATTCTAACAAAACTATCCTATAGGGAACATGCAATGAGAGCGAAGTCGTGATCTCAATTTCTAAATTGAGTGACTCATCGATCAGTAAGAAATAACAGAAAGCGATAAAATCCTACAGGGAGCATGCACTGAGAGAGAAGTCGTGATCTCAATTTCTAAATTGAGTGACTCATCGATCAATAAGAAAGTAAACAAATACAAGCACAACACATATAGCAAATGAAGTGTGGAATGCCTGCTACAGGTCTTTAAACAGCGACTTCGAGCGCACGCTCTTTATTTCCTACTTCTCATGGTATCTAGAAAGCAGTGAAGTGCGGAAATGAAGAATAAAATAGAGTTATGATGATACCGAACGGAGAAGGTCCGTTGCCTCTTCAAAACCACGCAAGTCATAAGAAAACTCTACCAAAAGCTGCTCCGCGCGAGTGATCAAAGAATTAGTCTCTAAGCATTCCATATTGCGAAAGTTACATCAACATTCTATCATAAAATCTTAGCTAAAAAATGACAACGAAAATGATTATCGAACATGTAAAGAAATATTAGAAAATTCTAATAAAATTCTAAAGAGAAAACCTAGGAATTCTAAAATATTTCCTAAAATATTCTAACTATTTTTTAGGTTATTTTTTCATTCAATAAAAATTAACAAAAGCCAATAAAAGAAAATTGACGAAGAAAAATAAATAATATAAATGTAAAGAGTTCAGGGGGTGCTAAGCTGGATTCAGGAGTGTAAAATAGTAAACAGTTCTAAGCCCATTCTGCAAGTCCAAATAGCATCTTTTTGTGCCAGGAAACAAGCTACCAAAAACGTGCCAACGAGCTTAAGCAAGACACCAAAAACCCGACCCAAGTCCAAGCATCACCTAATCATTACCCTAATTCAGCATTATTTGTATTGTTATATGTGTTTAAAAGAAGAAGGAAAATAAATTAAAACAAATAAAATTAAAAAAATATGCAAATTGATAGAGGATCTAGGGTTATGAAGTTTGTCTCTTCACTTCTTTCCTCTCTCACGCGGCGCCGTGAAACTCCGTGCCCCATCGCCTTTTCTTCATGGTCGTTTTGCTCCAGCTTCCAAACACGGTGATCTCAACCTTCTCTACTTCGCTGATACAACACCACTTCACTCCTATTCTACTCTCTCAATGCACAAACGGCGTCTCAATCTCACCTTCTTCACCGTCTTCGTCTTGATTCTACTGCCACCGTGCCGCTCCCTTTTTCCTGTGCTCAACATACCATTTCTTCTTCCCACGTCTTTCCTCTCTGATCTTGTGATGATACCAACATGTATAAGATAGTGCAATCAATAAAAGAAAAAGAGAACACCGATGCTTAATCGCCGGAAATAGGTCCGACGCCTCTTCAACCACAACAGTGACAAAACCGTAAGTCTCGTTGATAAGCTCAGGTATACACATGTTCCTATCTTCTGCTTTCTGTACGATTCATTATTGTGATGTTGTTGTGTGATGAAGCTGTTGTGTTGAAGAAGAATTAAAGATGTTATTAATTGTTGTTGCAAATTAGTTGAATTCGTGAAGCAAAGAAGTGTGATGTGACGACGGTGACAAAGTTCTTGATTGAAGAGTGTGATGTAGTTACTGAAGAAGGTACTATTTTTGTTGAAGGTTGATGAAGCAGATGAAGAATTGCAGAAAAGTATGAAGAGGAATATTTAAGATTGTAGAGAGAGAGAGAGAGAGAGTTTATAAAATTTCTTGGTGATTGTTCAGCAGATTGAAGAATGATTCAATTGCAAGGTAATTTTCTATTATATTCTGTTAGAGTTTGTTAGAGGGTTATGAGGTTATGGTTAGAGCTGTTAGCTTCTGTTTAGAAACAGTTAGAAGGTTTTTGGAAGTTGGTTAAAACAGTTGGGATTCGGTTAGTTTTCTGTTGGTTCTGGTTGGAAGAAGTTTTTCACGGTTCTGTTAGAGGTTTAAACAATTCTGCTATTTTCTGTTTAAGTTTTGGTTAGGAATTCTGCAGGTTGGTTACCGTATGTGTGTATTAATGCGTGGTCTGCATATGCGGATGAGAAAATTTTGACATTGGTTGTACAGGTTGGCGCCAAGGCAAATTGGAGCGGTTTTGAAGGTATGGATGATCGAAGTCAGCATGAAGAAGAAGGTCTAGACGTGAAGTTTGCAAGGAAGATGTGGATGAAGCAAGGTTGAACTAGGGTCGTGGCTTGACTAAGATTGAAGATGATGCTTGGTCATGAAGATGGAAGACTTAGGCACTTAGGTTTTAATTCTTTCTTGTAAATTTTTTGATGTATTAAAATATGACAGGAATGTAACCTTGGAAAATACTTGAAATGATGTAATGATTTATGGTGTAAATGGCCATGACTTTTTGAAACTTTGAGATGGTGATGTTGTGCTAGAATAGGTGATATACTTGGCTTGTATGATGAAATTGCTTGAATCTTGATTACTATTGAATCTCTTTTAGTACTTGGTGGAAATTTGAATGAACATTGAATATTCTTGAATGATCATGTCTTAAAAATTTGGATTGAAGCTTGTGACTTGTTCTTTGATTTCAAGATAAACCAGGAATGAATTACCCGTACTTTAAAACTTTAATCATCTTTACAATTCCGCCATTCCAAATCTCAATGAAAAGTTCAAATCACCTAGAGACCTTAACTTCCAATTCCAAATTATCATTCCATTCACAAACCCTTGACTTGACAACCAATACCATATCAATGCCTTAAAGAACCATCGAGAAGTGAATATGGAAGTATATATGACCAGGATAGCTTTGACATGAACATCCAATGAAACTCAGTTGATGGGTATTACAAGCTCAAAAATCCATGAATAAGAAACCATAATCCTCTCGACTTGGGTGCCTTTTGAATGAAGGAACCTCTTGAGATATTAACCAGAACCAAAACATCAACTTAATAAGATCCTTAGCTGATGGTGACAACCTTGTAGCTTGATGGGGGAGAAGTTCACGACAATGCTTAAACAAGCAACCCTAGCTTTCGACCAATGATTAATGGAGGAACCCGTAGAAACAAGCTTGAATGAAGGTGAAAGTCCCAAAGTAAAAAACCCTAGCTTCAAGATTCCCGATCCTATGCCCATTTGATTGATTAATGATGCATGATGTTTTTAAATGACCTAATGGAAGGTTGTGTACATGTGAAAAGTGCGAAACACATAAGTCAAATAAAAGTAAAAGGGGTAGGACAAATTTTGGGTATTACACCACGTATCCCTCTTCTCCTGCAACTTCTCTTGTACCAAAACCTTCCAATATTTTTTTCTCTCTAGATCAGAATCAAAGCTGAAAATTTTCCCAAATATGCAGCTACAGTGTGATGATGATATCTCCAAACTCAGACCTTATTTTGAAGATCCCAACGGTAAAAAGTCAGATGTAGGTGTTGTGAACCTTCCCTCAAAATTTGAGCATGATCCAACGGTTAAAGAATCAGAGATTTCCGATTTAGTGAGACTGCTGCAATAAAAACGGGAATGAGTTTCTTCCATCTATTCTCTCACTTTTCTCAATTAACCTAATTCCTTTTATATCCACTTAACCTTGTAATTCTATTAATTCTTATTGGGCCAATATCCATACTCTCATATTTACTACATGACATCACTTAAATAAGCCCAACAATTAATCTTATAATGCTCCAATATATTAAATATTATTAAACCACCATTTAATCAAATAATGTCACAGAGCAACTTAACAATAATTCACAATATTGCTCAACTCCAACTAATAATTTTAATTAAATAATTAATTAAATTATCAGGGCCTTACAACTCTCCCCCACTAAGGATATTTTCATCCTCGAAAATCTACTCGATAGTTCTATCCTTAACGCGAATCTCGTATCCAACTCTCTAATCCTCAAACTCCGTGTTTACCAATACTTCGGCCACTACTTTTTGACATAGTAACAACTCAATCATGATGTAAATCTACTACACGAATGTTAATCACTCAACACCCTCACAACATACTCGTCTATAACTTACCAACCTTTTCGGCAACACTCTGACATAACAACTCCCACAGTAGAAATGTAACAACCATAACTCACTTATACTTGGATATACCATGTCACCTCTTAACAACTTCCACAACACCAAAGCGCATATATAACTTTATTCTCATACGTATATGTATGTCAACTATCAACAAAATATCAACAACTCTATTCACGATTATAGTGACATCAACATAGTTAACAAAATTAACTTCGTCATATTATAGGATATTATTCATCACTTACGGTAACCAACAATTACATATTAATATTGATAACAAAATCATTACAACATCAACTTAACTGTATAACTCAACAAGTATACCCATAGCTCACCATCAACCAACAATCCACAACAATCTTCTTATAAAATCCGCAAATATTTACTAACAAACATAGTACCCTAACATAACATCTCTGTATCAACCATCCACCAAATCAAGCATGTAAATTAAGACACACCATTCCCATAGTCTTATGATGTTTTAATCCTTCACTTCTAATGAGTCGTACACGCATAGCAATTGCGTCATATCACGCTTCAGCTGCGCAACTCTGATCATCCATCTTAAGTCATCGTCCTCATTAAATTTTCCGTCGATTATATGGTTTATAAGTTTCAATCTAATCCAAAACTTTATTTAACATATGTCATAAAATTGTTATTCAATTGATATTCTCAATCTTTCACTTTGCTACGTTAGCTCGCATACAAACCCACTACTCTGAATTGTTCATTACGTCTCAACTCTCACTCAACGACTCCTCTACTAATTTCACACAAACTGGTGAGAGATTATTCTCGCGATATAACATCCATACTTTTTTCACACCATTAAGATAGCAAGACAAATCTATAACATCTAACATAATCTCTTCTACTATTAACAATGGATTAAGGGCGATCAGTTCCTCAATTTGTCAATTAGTATTTGACAACCATAAGGGAGTATAAATCGTCGTACCAAACTATAATAGCGTTTCCTTAAAACTCGTATTTAAGTTTTCTAAAACACAACATGTCTAATCCTCATTCACCCACCATCCCATGATGATCAATCATTTTCTAACTCGAGATCTATTGGCATATCAATACATTACAAATCCTTCCACTCTAGTCTGAGTCTTTATCTACATAAAGGATTCTAACAACATTCTTAAACTCTTAATCCTCTTCCGAATTTCACAACATCAAAAATACATGTATCTCCATCTCTCAAACTCATTTCAATTACACTCTCAACATTATCATCTTATGTAACAACATTTCATATATATATCTACACCTCAAACAACTACGATAATAATCATCTAAGCTCAACAAGCTACTAACCTCTATAATAGACTTCGTCGTTCTCCAACTTATAACTACTTCCACCTATAATGGATCTAAATACAATTTCACTTGAAAATAAAATTACTTAAGAGAACTCTTCTCCCAAAACTATAACATACATCCTGACAACTTAGCATAAATCTTCCTCCTTTTCGACACCGTAAATTCCACACAACTTTGCACTATCGTCTTTCATTCTAATTAATAACACCAAATATTTCCAAATGATACTTTTTATTTCATAAATTACTTTAAATAAATCTTCCAATTGCTCCTTTAATTCACCCAACTCGGATGTTGACGTCCCGTACAACACTAAAGAACAAGTCTAGTCCCAAAGACAAGCTTAACAACAAACTACACTTACTTACAATACCATCACATGATAAATGAATCTATTGCATCTACTGGAACCATTTTTAGAATGAAGCTCGTTTCGTTAGCTTTCCAATGCTTCAAACGGGACTCAAATCAGATGTCCGAAACTCTAGTTATGAATTTTCAAAGTCCCATAATAATTCTGTAGTTTCCCGCGATTCGCTTACGAAAATTCCACTCTGAAACTCATTTGTCTTCAACTTTGACATATTCCAAACAACTCTTAACATATCTCGTGCTTTCAAACTTCTTATAACTCGAGAGATGTATTCCTTCGCCAAAGTTCAGGTTCCAAAACACCAGGGCAACAATTCTTTTCGCAACGCTACTCACTTCTTCAAGTTTCGACTCAGACTCGTGATTCACAACTACTTATCAATGTCAACTACTTCCGACAATCACTTATGTGATCCTAACACAAAAGTTACAACAACTTTATTACACCATCATTGCTCAAACATCGACATCTTACACTTGCTTCGTAAATCAACAAATATTACATCGCTCTTCATTCTTCGAGAAGTAAGCATCAATAATGTCTGATCAATTTCTCTTAAGACGCTCTAACTCGACTAACAACAAGACCTTGAATCCAAGTCACCTTCAAATTTGGGAACAACAAGAATCCAACAATTCTTGCATTATCGTTGTCGGCAGCACACTGAACCAACACCTTTCAA